TCATATGTGGCTTGAGAAGGTTAAATTGATGAAAAATTGATGTTGTGTATTGAAGACACATGGTTATCTTGGGAATGAGTAATGAAAGGAGGAAATGGAAAATGTGATTGTTAACATTGTTGTGACGACTTGGAAATGGGAAATGTTATGAGTTATGAGAAATCACTGCATTGCATATGCATTCAATTATTATTTTTGCATTGTAAATTTTGATTGAAGATATTTATTTCATGAAAGAAAGTGATGTTGTATTAAGAACTATGGCAATGTGTATGGGGTAAATACGGTGGTAAGTCCGGATAGGTGGTGTAGATGATTTGATAAGTTGGCCCGAGTGTCCTTGGTGAAAGACCAGAAAACCGCGTGGATAGGTGTCGAGCCTTTCGATTAATCTCGGTAAAAATAACAATTTGGTAGTGCTTGTAGAACCTACTTGCAGACACCAGCCTAGGGATTACCAGTGTCGTATTTACCGCCCATGTTGATTAAAATGGAAAGGTTTTGAAATGTGTTGAGATTGCAAGCTTTGGTTGAAAAATGGAAATCTTTAAGAAAAGCATGAAATGAAATTTCTTTAAAGGAGCATGGCATAGCATTGGCATTTGCATTATTTTTATTGAGAATTGCATGACTGTATATACTTTGTTAGAATTCTCTACTGGGAGTTATGCTCACCCCTATAGGATTTGGTGCAAGTTAAGATGTGGTGGTTCCGTCGGGCTAAGGGCATGGATATGTTATGATGAAAAGTAGTCTTGCTCTTCCATTTGTTGTGATGTTTTTGTAAGCCAAGGGCTAATGTGTATGGGTTCGAGAAACCATTTTGTGTAATCGGGCTATTGCCTTGGAAGATGTAAGCCCTTAGGGGCATTTTATTTGTGTTGAGATTAGATGCTTCACATGCTGTAGATTCATGTATTTCTATATTCTTGAAAGTTTAAACATTGGTGGTATGTTATGTAAAGGTTGGAGTTATGACATTATTGATTGGGTGAATGTTGATTAATGTGGGTGGTTCATGTTGTATTATTTTGGGGCATTACATTCATCGTTTATTTTTATTATTATTATATAAAACTGATTTGATCACGTAGCTATAGATATCCAATCAACGTAATTTTTTACAAGTATATAGTGCTCGATGAGTTTTGTACATTGAACGGTTTAGATTATTAAAACGGGACTCGTGGTGGGCCTCTACGGGCCCAATAACACCCTCCAGTCCGATACGGACTGGAGGGAAGCCAAACCCTAATTTTAAACCTTACAAGTATCAATTTAACTCCAATTTACTACCTTTTAAACTTAATTTGAAACACTAACTAATTTTCTAAACTTAATTGGAAATTATATTCATTTAACTCTTAAACTTAATTTCAAATTTAATGGTGTTTAATTCCACTAATTTTGGTGGTCAATTAGAATCTAGGTTGGAGATATGTGAGTCCATATCTACAAGACAATCACATATGTGCTTAGGGACGATCCTTCTACTAGCTAATAGATTACAAAAAAATAAAAATAAAATAAACATGCAAATGAACTGAAAACTTAAAAAAATTTCAAATTTGTTTGACGTTCCATCTCCTCGAGGCGGGGTTGGTTTAGGGAAGAGAAGGCAGCAACGGGGGTGGTTTAGGAGGGGAGAGGTGGTGGCAATGGTGGAGAGAGACTAGAGAAGGGATGTACTTGCTGTTAAGTTTTAAATCTTCATTTTTGGATTTTTCATTTGTGCTTGATTTTATCTTGCAGTTCACTGATAGATAAATCCTAGGTCAAGCATGGAAGTTTCTCAACTCTTGTTTTTCATGGAGTTTAAACGGTTGTTCTCCTTGGTTGAGGTTCAGTTTTCTACTTTGTTGTATCTAAATTTAATTGAGAAAAAAGAAAAAAAAAATGCATCAGAGAAAAATAAATTTAATTACCTTGCACATAATTGCACTGTAGAAATTGTAGAATAATGTACAACTATAACTATTTTTAATTATGATAAATTTCACTTTATTCTCTTATCTTTTTGTCTATGTACAAATTGCTCATCTCATTTGAAAATAACCACATAACCCTTTGTGGTTTGTGAACTTTTGTGAACTAAATGAACCGTTAAATATACTTAACAGTAAATGTGAAACATATGTCAAATATAAAGAGATTATATACTCATTTTCAAAATTTAAGGAGCATATGGAATAAAAGATAAGGGGTTAAAGTGCATTTTGCTTCCGAAGAAAATAACAAAAATGTTCATAGTTTTGATACTTAGATTCCTTATGTATAAGAATATTTTAATTTTTTTTATTAAATTTTTAATTGACCTAATAGTATATTTCATTTTACAAATTATAAAAAGACTATATGATTATTTTCAAATAAGAGGAGTATAATCTGCATATAGATCAAAATAAAATTTGGACTTTCAAATAAAATGCATTATGGAGATTCCCAAAGGGTGATATTCATTGGAGGGAAACTATAATTGGGTTCGGTGGTGTGGTTACATTTTTGATCAAGTTTAATTACCGTGTAGATAATTACATGGTGCATATGTTTCCTATTGAACTGTAGGAAATTTTTTTTTTTTTTTATTGAAGACCATTCTAAATGAATAATAATAAATAAATAAAATAGTAATTTGGTGATAAATCTAATCTAAGGAGGGTATAAGACATTAGGTCCAGTGTATATTTTTTATTGGTGAGAGATCCACCATTTGTGAAATAGTTTGGTGAGGAGTCTTTTTATTTGTTTTTGAAGGACATTTTATTTTCAATTTTACCCCTTAATTTATCTGCATTTCGTGTCATTGTTCGACGCCTTGCTTCTACTTGTCTAGATGTGATCCAAGCGGGTTCAAGTGCTTGAAGAGCATATTTTCCGAAAACAAATATAATTACCTCGATAAGATATTTCCTTCATTCTTCCTCAATGTTGTTTACAAAATCTAGTTCTTTTGGGGGTGTAGTTGATGGTTTTTTTTTGTATATTCCATCTCTTCTACAAAACCGGATGTGAGAGTTTCTTCTCATCCAGCTCCTTGCGAATAAAAACGGATTCAAAATATTTAATTTGAATTAAGATATACATATTTAATGAATAACATATTCAATGGGATTTTTTTTAGGGTCCCTGATATTAAGATTTTATAGCATAAAAGACAAATAATATTTTCATAATGTCTAAAGTCCCTCAATATTGATCCAAAGAAATTTCAATCACAGAGAAATTTTCTCCAAAGAAATTCCTAGAATTTCTCTAGGCATCTCCAGAGAAATTCTGGATTTCCCAAAGAATTTCTCTGGGTTCAAATTAGAGAAAATTGAAATTTCTTTGGCTTTGTTCATAGAGAATTGAAATTTCTCTAACTCTGTTCACAGAAAATTTCTATGGCTTTGTTCACAAATTTTTCTATGTTTGTTCACAATTTTAAACCAGAAAAAATTGTTTTAACCAAACTAGAGAAATTTTAATCAAACCCCTCTTTTTATAACAAGGTTATATTCCTTGAAAGATGTAAGCCCTTGGGGCTATTTTTTATTTGAGACATGAAATTGTTTTGTAATAGTATCACTTGTAGATTCAAGCTTAAGAGTTATGAATGTGTAATGCATGTGATTTATTTTGACATCTTACTTGATGAAATGAAGAATAAAAAAAGAAGATTTACTTTCATTATGAATATCAGAGAATATTGAATATTATGTCGGCTTCCGCATGTATGAATTGAATGAATATCTACTAGAGGAATTAAAGTGAATTTTTAATGTTAATCAGATCTATAGAAATTGGGCCGTTACAATGGGGTTTGCGGGTTTGCTTAATTGATTGTTTTTCTCCATTGTGGGACGCTTTGTTGAGTTGATACTATTGGATTTGTTAATCGTAAATTCAGTTAGGTTGTTGATTGTACATTTAGAAGTTATGTTGATGTAATTTTCATGATAATTGTAATATTGAATCTCAACAACTGACCCTTCCAATATATATAGATAAATTTAATATTATCTTGTTGCTTATTGTGGGTTTTTCTTTTTTTTCAATGTTGTGAGTAATATGTGCCCCTTTGTTTAATTTCTAGATCCGTTGGATCTGCTACTGTGCGCAGTGTTTTGAATATTTTCAACAATGTTAGTTTGCTTCTGTAGTAGTTTTAATTGCGATTTATTTGGTTTGTCCTTGCATAGCAGTTTAAAGCTTTACATCAATTGCAATTTTTATGGTTCAATTGAGCCAAATTTCTTCTAAATTGGTTGTTGGTGAGTTAGCCTAACTACTACAAAATAGCTAAACTGGTTGTTGGTGAGTTAGAGTGCCTACAGCCTACTACAAAAAAGCTAAATGATCTCAGCTTTTAACCATAACAGTATTTATCAATCTCAATTTTTCACATTATAAAAAGCGTAATCTATGCAAGTGTGATGATTTATCCTTATTTTCCATCACACTTTCTAACCGTGATAGTAAACTAAAAACACATATTAAAATTTTAAAGTACGATTAATATTCTTATTAAGTTCTCATGTTTTCCATAAAATTGTGATCATATATAAAGCATACATCTCAGTTTTTCAAAAATTGTAATTGTAAACGGCAAAAAGTCACAATGTTTCTACATAATTGATCATTGCTAAAACATACATCTCAATTTTTCGAAAGTACAATTGCAAATGGCAAAAGATTTCAATTTTTCAACATAAATGATCGTTTCTAAAACATACATCTCAATTTTGAAAGAAGTACGATTGTATATGGCAAAAGAAGATCACATTTTTTTATGAAGTGTGATTATAAATGGCAAAAGATCTCAGTTTTTGAATAAAATTGTGATCACTTCTAAAACAAACATCTCAATTAGTGTCATTGTAAATGACAAAAGATCTCCATTCTATTTTAACCATGATTGGTATTTGATAAAAAAAATCTCAGATTTTCTTAATTTAAAAACATGATTGTTTACATTTGAAAAAAATAAACAACAAATATTTTCCTAGTAAATCAAAGCATTAAACTTTAATTACACACTGATTTCAATTTTCAAATATCTGCTGCTACATCCATTGTAGCTCTATCAATAAAAAAATAAGTCATTCCTAACGACAAAACAAAGTTTGATTGAGCAAAGAAAAATAAAGGAACCTATGGACTACTGTAAGCAACCTTCAATTTGGTGACATTGTTATGCAAGTAGCGCCCCCGTTCTTCTTTCCCTCCATCTTCCTATATATTTCCCTCCAAATTCCCTCTTGAACCCTACAAATTAACACCCAAAATGCTTCAATAGAAAATCAAATTAAAGTGTTAATTAAAGCTAAACAAGAAAAATGATTTGAGAAAAGAACAGGGGCAAAAATCACAAAACAAAGATATAACACCAACCATCAAATATGATGATAGGAGCATATAGCACAACCAATTCCTTAAATTCAACACAACAAGAAAAATGAAGTAATCCTAATTGTTAAAAAACACCAATATCATGGAGAGGATTAAATGAACTTAATAATGTTTCCCAAAAAGTCAGTCATTCCACAAATAGCATCATATATCTATACTTGAGATCAAGCTTGTTAAAAATAGAGAATAAGAATGGACTACAAAGCCAAAAAGCATCATATAACTATACTTGAATCATCATTAATATTAAATATAGTTCAAAAAAAAAAAAAAAACTATATTGATTACCTCAACTACTTGCCAAATTGGCTTTCTATTCATCCCTTTAGTTATTCCATAAATCCGAAGACCACTGTATAAAAAGAAGAAAGATTAGTACATTATCATTAGAATAGCTCTATTGCAAAGAAATGTACAAAAGTAATAAACTAACACGTGTATTACAATTTTAAACTTGTGTTGATTTCACCATGATAAAATGAATCAAGAGAGTACACTATCATCGATGATAGATCAATGACTAATAATACCCAATGGTACCTAAAATTGAACAAATCAAAAATATGAGCTCAACAAGTAATTATTTTTCAAACGCATGAAATAAATAACACTACGATAATTACCCAATATTATAAGGAACAAATATTAGTTGGTCAGGCTTGGCATCATCAAATCTTCTAGCAATCAATGTTGATTTTGAATTTCCAGCAGTCTGACATTTCCCACTAATGACATATGGGTTAACAAATGCAAATCTTCTGTTCAAATTCGATGCTTTTAACACTTGATGGAAATGACTAATAAAAGAAGAAATAAATGTCATAAGAAACTTTGTAATTGATAAAAACCTCAGCTTCTCACAAAGCATGTAATAATTTAGTCTTACCTTACGTACAACATGAAGCATGTAATGCATAGCTCTTTCATTTGACATACACACTCCATGTCTACTCTTTGAAGTTGTACACTGACTCCCCAAATATGTCCTTCTCTAGTGGAATGTTAATGGCTTCATCACACTTGAAATGCTCGACCAATGATTCAAAAGCATGGAAGGACTCCAATTTTTTTTCAAAATAAACATTTTTTGAATTTCCCCAAGTTAGAAAATTCCCAATGCAAAAATATGTCAATTTCAGTGTAAGAAAATGTAACAACACCACTAGAAAAGATAGTTGTACCTCATTGCCGACCAATGAAGCAAAAGCTGGAATGCACTCCAAACGTTTTTCACAATCAACACCTTTTAAAGCTCCCAAAATTTGAAATGTTACAATGCAAAAATACACTAGTCAATTTCAGTTGAAGGAAAATGTAGTAACACTTCCAGAAAGGATATTTGTACCTCATTGTTGACCAACATGAATTTTTTGGGCCAAGCCACCTGACATCCTATTGCCTCTCCAACAATAGTCATCTCTTCTGGGATAGGAATGGGAAGAGGGCCATCTTTAACTATGGCAACATCAACAGACACTCATTGAATTTCCCCAATGGTACCGTATGAATAACTTCTTGAGGTCCAATTCTTTCATACATCGTACCATGGGCAACAATGTTTTCAAGAGATCCCACCACTAGTTTGCATGGTTTGCTCCATAAGAAATAATAAACAAATAAATGCTTTTACAACTAAGGATTCAATTCATAATTTACAAAATAATTAACTTAAAATTGAAATAAAAACAATATGCCTTTCTAATATTTAGCTTGAAAACTAGAGGTTTGATATTCTTCTTAGGATTTGGAGGTCTAATATTCTGCTTAGGATTTGAAGATGACATGTCATTCTTGAAAAGCAACCTACTTTCCTTTGAGTTAGGAACAAGTTGTGGATTGCCTATATTATCGCTTTTCAAGGTGTTTGAGTTTGCATCATCAAATTGAGATGTTTGGGGTCTTTGTTGTGCCATTGTATTGATTTGAGCTTGCATTTGTAACACGATTGACTCAAAAGATTTCAGCTTCTCTTCACAAATTGAATGATTTCCACGTCTAGGAATGTGGAAGTACTGTCTGGTGCAATAAAATTTCCTACACCCCTTACCTGCCCCGAATGTTCAACCATACCCAATGCCATGGTAAGGATGTCGGTGCTTCCTTGGGTGGACAAACTCCCATCCATTGTTTGTTTAGTAAACTCATCCTATAGTATACAATGATATATTAGAAGAATGAACAACATTGTTTCAATATAAAATCATTATGATAAGTGCACGGAGATTACAATTTTTGCAACTTGTTGCATAATTCTCACTTGATCCAGCCTTTTGTTTCTATCAATCAAACATAAAATTAGAAATAGTCATACCAAATTTTAAATGTCTTATTAAATTACAAAATCTACAAATACTTACAAGTTCTTCTTGAAAACGAGCATAGCCCTTTCGACCAAGCCTATGGTTATATATACTTTTGCTTTGCCTCGCTCTGTGAATATTACTTTCTACCTTTTAAATTATAACACAAAATTAAATTCAATTGTATAACATTAAATATCCACTAACAAAATAAGTAAATTGTTCTGACATGTACCTCAAATTTTTCTGTCAGTCTATCCCTCATAAATGAATTCCAATGTCTTTGTTCAATAAAAGGATAAATTTCTGATGGTTTTGAAACAAACTTAGGACTTGACTTGTATTGACGGATGTGCTTGCTAAGGTATTTTTTGAATGTCCTCCATTTCTCTCCAATTGAAGACAAAGTCTTCTTTTTTCTACTTCGATCCACATTGTATGCTAACTGAGCAATTAAGAAATAAAGTTATAAACAAAAAATTTAAGTGAAATTAAAAGTATGTAGATATATGAGGCCTGCAGACTCCACACAACTCCACAATTTCTCTTTCAATTCTTTTGGAACCTTATGCCAATCTTTATAGACTATTGGGACCATTGTTCGAGCCAAAACTCCAAGATAGATCCAGTATTGTACATCCCCTATCAGTTGACCCAACTCATTATAGTGAATGATTTTTTGCACACCAGAACTTTCATCCTTTATGATCCCTGGTAGGGTTGTTGAACCTCTAACTTTCCTTTTTTTCGATTTTATTGGTGACAACCTTGCATCCTCTTCGTAAGATGAATCCATCTGTGTCATGAAATTGAAAGAAAATCACATTAGCACATTATTAGATTATGAAAATAAAGAAAAGAAAAGAAAAGTATTGAATAATGCAAAGCAAAGCCATCCACAAATATTAATAGAAAAAAGTAACAATCTCGTACATTCTTAGATACAAATAAACCAAAATGAGATTCACTTCATTTTATCATAAAGACAAATTAGGCTTAACTTTTTCCCACTCAAAAGGAACAAGGACCAAAAGGCAAAAGAAAAGTAAAAATATAACCACTCAACAATGCGTAAGTTCGATGTTACATAACCAAACCAAACCAAACCAAGCCTTAAGTCCCATCAAATGGGGTCGGCTACATGAATCTTTCTTCTCCACGCGGCCCTATCAAAGGCCATTTCATTAGTCAAATTAAGTAGATCTATATCTCTATTTACAGTGCTAACCAGTGTTAATCTAGGCCTACCCTGTCCCCTAACACTTCCATCTACCGTTACAGTATCGCATCTCTTCACTACTGTCTCTGTTGGTCTCCGTTGAATATGACCAAACCATCTCAATCGATGTTACATCCAATGCAAAAAATAGAAAAATATATCATGTATAATCAACCCAAGTTCCCTTACAGTCTCCTCGCATGTAAGATGACAGACTCATCAACTTCATCAAATGATTCAACTTCTGGCAATACATTTATTAATCCATGATGCTCCATAGAACAATCATTGAGCTCATCATCCCTTTCACAAGGATAGTCTTTGAGGAGGTTCCAGCACAATAGACCATCTCGGATCAAGTTGATCTTCTACATAAAAAACTTGTTTCACCTGGGAAGCCAAAATGAAATAATCAGATTTGTGGCCTATCCTTCCAAGCTCAACTAATGTAAAACCAAGTTCATCCACTTTAATTCCCTTCGTGTTGTCAACCAATCACACTTGAATACAAGAATCTTGAGCATATGATAATCAAACTACCATATCTCAACAAAAACCCCATAAAAACTCATTTCTACGAACACGGGATTCTTATCTTTGTAGATTGAAACTAGCATTGCCGTCGCCACTAAACTAACTCCACTGTTCTGATTGACTCACGAATTATCGCAGTTTTTGTTGTAATAACGACGACTATTAATGACATAGCCAGAACATTTTGAAACATCAAAACGAGGTCCTTGTGCCACTTCAAGGTATTTGATATATTATTCTGGGCATTTAATTCATCTAAAACCTGTTATATGGCTGAACTGTTAGCTATAAGTTTATTAATGATATACACGATGTAAAAAAATACACATTTTATTGTTTCAATACCTTTTCACGTAGCCAATAAATAAATGTATTATTGTGTTGAATTTGTAACCATTTCTAACTTTTTGATTGATAAGGATGTTCTAGCTTCAAACAAGCCATATTCTCCCTATCATCAAATTATAGATAAGTAAAATATGATCTGTTAGCAAATACATCACAACTATTGTGAGACAATACAGTTGTCACAAAAATGGAGATGAGTAGTTCTTACTCAATGTAAGGTTGAACAGCACTTCGTGTTTTCAAACACAACGATGTGCTTGCTCCCATTCTTCACGATCAACAACAACAACATGACAACCTGGTAAAGCCCTTCCAATTTTTGTATCATTATCAACTGCCATGTTCCTAGTAGGAGGAATCCCAATTGTATCCACTCCAAATAAGTACTCTACACAAAACTCAACAGCTTCTTCTACAATATAACTTTCAGCAATGCAACCTTCTGGAAAATTACGATTACAAACATACCCTTTTAACACATTCATGAATCTCTCAAATTGGTACATCCATCTAAAGTGAATCAGTCCACAAAGTTTGAATTCTCTAACAAGATGCACTGTCAAATGAACCATGATATAAAAAAATGATGGTGAAAAGAATTTTCAGTACACATAATGTGATCACAAGATCTTTATGAATTTCATCTAATTTTGGCACATCCACCACTTTGCTTCAAATAGCATTGAAAAAGAAACATAATCTCATAATGGCATATCTCACATGCTTAGGCAGCAGGGATCATATTGTCATAGGTAACAATTGTTGCATCAATATATGACAATCATGCGACTTCAAACCATAAAGTTTCAAATCTTGCATTGATACATGGCTAATAAAATTTGAAGAGTATCCTTCTAGAACCTTGAGCACGAACAATTGAGTACATAAAAGAATGAAAAGAATTATTTGGCTTACCAATCAACGAGGTAGAGACCATATATATATAATATATTCATGATACAATTTAAGAAACAATATACACAAGGTAAGATTTCTATAATCAAGATAATTCCTATTCTAATTTCCATATTCAAACATAATATTTTGATTTCTATATTCAACACTCCCCCTCAAGCTAGCGTGAAGATATTCAACAAACGCAACTTATCAATGAAAGACTAGAGCAAAGTTGGTCCCACAGATTTTGTAAACACATCTGCCAACTGCTGAGAAGAAGAGACAAATAATGGACGCACAATGCTAGTTTGAACCTTTTCTCAAATGAAATGTATGTCAACCTTGATATGTTTGGTACACTCACAAAGTACAGAATTAGAGGATAATATAATGGCAGATTTGTTATCACAAAATAAAGAGGTAGGTGTAGTCTCCTCAAAACCTAACTCTGCCAGAATAGAGCGAATCCAAAGAATCTCACATGTCCTATGTGCCATAGCCCAATACTCAGCCTCTACAGAAGACCTAGAAACCACCGCTTGCATCTTACTTTTCCATGAGATAAGATGATCACCATAGAAAGTACAAAAGCCAGAAGTGGAATGCCTCAATCCTAAATCTTGCGTAGTTTGCATCAGTGAAACATGAGAGCCCAAATTGGAGACCAGCAGTAAAGAACAATCCCAAACCAGAAGTTTTTAAATACCTCAAAATATGATGAATCGCGTCAAGGTGCTCTTTACGAGATGCATGCATGAACTGACTCACAACACTAACTGCAAATGTCAAATTAGGTCTAGCATTGGTCAAATAAATGAGGCGTATAACAAGACGCTAATACATGTCTAGGTCATCCAGTAACTCACCAGACTCTGATGTGAGTTTGACATTAGGATCCATAGGAGTACAAGCAGGTTTACACACTAACATACCAGTATCCTAAAGCAAGTCAAGGGTGTACTTTCTATGAGATAAGTAGATCCCCTCACTTGAGCGAGCCACCTCAATTCCCAAAAAATATTTGAGACATCCCAAATCCTTAATATCAAAAGTTTAGCCCAAGTCCTTCTTTACTTGACCAATGCCGACAAAGTCATCACTTGTAAGAATAATATCATCCACATAAACTAACAAGACTATACACTGACCTGTAGAATTCCAGCGAATGAAACAAGTGTGATCGGAGTGGCACTGAACAAAGCCCATAGATATAATAACAGAACTGACGCGACTAAACTATGCTCGTGGAGACTATTTCAAACCATACAAGGATTTGCGTAACCGGCACACTTTCCCCGAATACTCCCCCTCAACTCGAAAACCAAGTGGAGGAGCCATATAAACTGTCTCAAGATCTCCATGGAGAAATGCATTCTTGACATCAAGCTGATCAAGAGGCCAAGAATGAGATACTGCAAGGGAGATAAGGACAAATGCATTCTTGACACCAAGCGGACTTTGTAACGATCACCTGAGCCATTAATGAGGTACTTTATAGTGAACACCCGTTTGCAACCAACTGTGCTTTCCCCAAGAGGTAAAGGTACAAGATCCCAAGTGTGATTCTGTTCTAAGGCCGCCGTCTCAGTTTGCATAGCCGCTACCCATTTGGGATTCTGAAAGGCCTCAGATACAGAACAAGGAATGGGCTCTGACTCAAGCTTGCCAAGAAAAGAACGGAAAGAAGCTGTCATAGGAAAGATACTGGGAAATAGGATGATAAGTACTACTCAAATAACTCAAATGATTCAGAGGATGTCAATCCCGATGTGGGTTACGACCAGAAGGTGGAAGAGAAGCTAGAGAAGAGTTACTTGACCTAGAGATTGGAGAGACAGCAAAGGGGGCTAAATGCGTGGGTAACAGGAGTATAATTGCAATGGAGGAGGAAACGAAGGTGGAGAAGGAGGAAAGGGGACAGCCTCATTCTCAACCTCGTCTAAAATGGTCACCGGGCAAACAGTGTAAGTAACAGGAGGAGGAGCCTGCAAAGATGGGTTAGTACTAAAGAAAGGAAGATCCGCACAAAACGTAACATCCAAAGTGTGGTGAAAGTGACGAGATAGAGGGTCATAACACCTATACCCTTTGGACATGGAAGAGTACCCTAAGAAAATACAACGAATAGATTTGTCATCTAACTTTGTGCGAGTGGGACTCCGATTTTGAACAAAATAGGTACACCCAAAGACAGGAGGTATGAGTGGAAACAGAGTGGTGGTGGGCATAAGGGTATGAAACACAGTGAGTCCATGCAATACACGGCTAGGGGTCCTATTAATGAGGTAAACAATAGTAAGGACAGCCCTATGCCAATAAGACTTGGGAACGCCCATACCTCGAAGAAGACACTGGATAACAGACATAATACATGGTTAGCAGAATCCCGATCTGGATCGTAGGATCTTACGATTCTACGATCTCAATTGGGTCAAACGATCCGGATCACACTAGGATCTTAAATTTAGTAGGATCTTAAAGTCACTACGATCCTAATCATAAAATGATGCAGAATTGCATACGATCCCAATTCTACTTTGATCCCAATCCTACCAATTTTTTTTGTTACTATTTATTTCTTATATATATGCGTATATCTATATAAAAAATTTGACTATGAACTCATTTTTCAAATGTCTTCTCTAATTTATGTTAACATAGAATATACATTATATCAAATTTATCAATTTTCTTTAATCTTTTTAAAATTATGTAACAAAGTTTATCATTATCGATAATTTTTCATTTTATTTTGCATTAAAAGTAGGATCTTACGATTCTCGATCCGATTCTATGATCCGATCCATTAGTCCCTCCCAACGATCCTACACGTGAGATCCTAATTTTAACAACCTTGACATAATATGACGGTTTTTGCGTTTTGCAACACCATTTTGTTCAAGGGTCCAAGGACAAGTAAGTTGTTGAAGAATACCGGGTTAATTAAGATGGGAACGAAATGCATTAGAAATATATTCCCTACCATTATCGAAACGGATAGTCCTAACAACTGCATGAAACTGAGTTTTAACCATCTATAAAAATTGAACAAAAAGGGAAAGACGTCAGACTTATGAAGAATTAGATAAACCTAAATGCACCTTGTGTGATCATCAATAAAAGTCACATAATATCTATGACCAAAAAAAGCAGTGACAAGGGAAGGGCCCCAGACATTAGAATGTATAAGATCAAAAACACTAGGAACACGAGTCATATGAGGAATATAGCTAGTATAGGTATGCTTAGACAACTCACAAACCACACAATGAAACTTAGAATCCTTGCAAGCTTTATCAAATGAAGGAAAAAGTTGACATAAATACTGAAAATTAACATGACCCATACGAGCGTACCATAATTCTAAAGTTTGAATATTAAAAACACAAGATATGGAAGCAGGCAAAACAGAAGCCTGAAAACTAGCTAAGGAAGAAGAGGAAGGCTCATCCGGTGAATCCCCAAAGTAGTACAGCCCATCACACTCATAGTCCTTGCCAAAAATCGTCTTTGAACTCAGGCCCTGTAAAAGACGAGGAGAGTAGAAGATGATAGCACAATTAAATTGTTTGGCAAGACGACTAATAGATACGAGATTATATGCAAAATTTGAAACATGTAAAACAGATGATAAAGTAATGGTAGGGGATAAAGACACTACACCCTTATGACGAACAAAGAATAACAAACCATCAACAAGACACACAGATTGGGCAATAGCAGGCCGAACTCACCTGTCATATAATCATTAGCCCCAGAATTCAGAACCCATGAGGGACTAGCAGACCGAACATGGAAAGCGGTAGAAATACCTGTTGCAATGGTGGCAACAGTGGTAGATGATGGGCCAGGAGAACTGGCAGTAAGAGATCCAAGCTAAGCCTAAAGCTGACCAATCTGAGTCTGTAACTCCTGTAAATTAGGAAAATGGGAAGACCTAGGAGCAGGAGTAGCGGAATCCACTAGAGCCGCAGTACGAGGGGTGCCAGTACCAAGAGGGCGAAAGGAACGTTGCCTCAACTCAGGAAGAAGTTTGAAGCAACGAGCCTTAACATGACCAGAAACGCCACAATGATGACAAGTAGCTGGACCAGTAGAACCCCGAGAACCAGGAGTGTGATGAGAAAGAGAAAAATCAGAACTAATTGGAATAGGCTAGGTGGGTATATCAGCAAAGGATGGATCAGTCATGGTGGAATAAAAGGGGCTGAAAAACACACAAACATAGCAACAAAGTCCAAGAAAAAATAAGAAGCCGAAAAAAAAAACTCAACGGCTTATCTAAGTAGATACTGCCAAATAAACTCAATAACCCAAAAGAATAAAAGGACAAACAAAGGGACTTAACACATCAATCCAGTCACCCCAAGAAGGGGAAAAGAACAGCCACGGACCACCTAAAGAAGGCCTACCGAGGTGAAGACAAGGAGAGGGGCTGTGAAGGCTTGGTTGAGGCTGGATTGAGGTTGTCGGAGGGAGAAAAGGAGTTGGAAAGGGCTGTCGGAGGCTAGAGAAGAGAAAAAAAAAAAAGGCAGTCAGTAGTGATGGGTGGTTGAGAGAGAGACAGCTAGGGAGGCTCTGATACCAAAAAATTGGAAAGCTCAGCCCACATTTCTCCTTAAAGCCCCGGCATTAAGAAAAGGGAAACTGAAACCTTATAATTAGCACAGATGGGGCAACTCCAGGCGATATGGGACACATTCCAACACACACTCCTGAACCACAATATACACTAGCCGGACAAACGACACACCAGTCACAAACCCAACCAAACTTTGATACCAAATTGAATGAAAAAAATTATTTGGCTTACCAATCAACTATGTAAAGGCCATGTATATATAATATATTCATGATACAATTTCGAAAACAATATACACAATGTAAGATTCCTATAATCAAAATAATTCCTATTCTAATTTCCATATTCAAACTTAATATTTTGATTTCTATATTCAACATGCATACCTTTCTTTTCTCCTCCTTAGACAATGTATAACATGTTAGAGGCAAGTATGTTCGCTTCTCTCCAATTTGTGGTGCCAAATCTTTATGTAAACCCATGTCCACAAGATCTAGGTGAGAATTAATTCCATCCTTTGTTTTTCCTGAAATATGAAGCAATGTGCCAATGATGCCGACACACATTCTTCTCAATGTGCATAAGATCCAAGTTATGTCAAACATGCAAGTATTTCCAATATTTAAGATCAAAAAATATTGACTTCTTCTTCCAACAATTTGTAGTGCCAACATCGAATGATTTTTTATTCTTCTTTCCCCATTTAGGTAAACTCCCTTCAACTTTCTCAAGTATCTGCTCTCCACTTAATGATAATGGCGGCAATCCAAAATCCTGCTCACCATTAAAAGCCTTCTTTTGCTTTCAATGTGGATGGTAGCATGGAAGAAATTTTATGTGGCTTGCATATGTGTTCTTCTTAACGCATTTCAATATATGGGAATTCGTTCCATCACTGCAAATTGGACACACATAATATACCTTCACATAACAACCACTAAAATTGCCATATGTTGGAAAGTCACTTATCGTCCATAATAATACAACCTTCAACCTAAAGTGTTGTTGTCGGTAAGCATCATAAGCTTCAATGCCTACTTCCCATAACATCTTCAAATCATCAATCAATGGTGCCAAGAAAACATCAATATCATTACCAGGTTATTGTGGACCTGATATCAACAATGATAATATTATAAATTTTCTCTTCATATACAACCATGGTGGAAGATTATAGGTAACCATTATGACTGGCCAACAACTATACCTACTGCTCAAGAACCCATGTGGATTTATTCCATCTGCAAAAATAGCTAGTCGAAGGTTCCTTGGCTCTGCAGCGAAATCTGGCCACTTGTGGTCTACTAACTTCTATGATGGAGATTCTATTGGGTGATTTAGTTTGCCATCAAAATCTCTTTGGTGAGTATGCCATGTCAAGTCCTTTGCTATTTGTGTTGATTGGAATATCCTTCGAAATCTCAGAATAGGCGAGAAGTACCATAAAACTTTTGCTGGCATGGATACTGGCATTTCATTATTGATTGGTAGTATGCCACCCATCAATGTTAGCATACCTGAAAAACCCGTCTGAGACAACCCACTACTAGTTTTGAAGTTAAACAGTTTGACTAATGGAGATAACTTCGTAAACTTTGTGCAGCCAAGATACAATGGTTTTTCGGCATCTTCAAGCGATTTTTTAAACTCGTCCAGATCAGTTGTACAATGATTGTATGCATCTTGAACCATTTCTATTGTTTCATGTACATCGCCTAAGGGAGACGGTTAAATTGTTGATCAAAAACATCTTGTGCAAATGTTGTTGCCCCACTAGTGTCCATGCCATATCCATTTGAAGTAGCTTTGATCAATGCCATTAACAAATAGATGATTTCTATTCTCTTAAACAAGTTGGCTTCTCAAGTTCCCACATACACTACATGGACATCGTATGGATTGAAGATCATTCGCATGAATCATAGTCTTTTGATCTTCTATCTTTGAGAATCCAAGATTTATCCATTTTGAATGAATTTTAGGTAAACCTATTATGGCACGCCTTTTTTTAAAGTTCTTTTAAACCAATATCACAAAGCTTGATACAATAATGTTGATAAAACAATATATCTAGGTTTTCAATAGGTTCAACTGCAACCTCCACCAGTAACCCATACAACAAATATAACATATCCGAGTTTTCGGTAGGCTCACCCTAAACATCTAACACCACTATGGGTTTTCAGTAGGCTCACCCCTAACCTCATCGCGTGTGTGATTGTCTACATGTATATATATATCAATGTGAAAGAGATACACCTCCTCGTCAACCTGTGTCGAGTGCAACAACTCCACTTCACTACCCACAGACTCTCTGATTCACATGTACTAATTTGCTAAAGTGTCAAACATTTAATCAATAAAAGCACATAAATAATAATGAAGAAAAGTTTAAATTGAGTAAGAAAAAAAGTTTGTTTACCTGTTGACACGACCTTGCCCGTTGATAAATTCAACTTCATATAAAACAATGACATTGTGATTAGCTCAAGCAATCAAGGGCACCAATTCTCTCTATAAACTTGGAGTGACAAAAATATAATCAATCTAGTCAACCAAAAAACTATCTATTTATCAAACAAAAAGAAGTGAAACTATGATGAGTACTTATGTTATCAGAATCTTACTATTCGCGATTCGATTTTTTGCAAAATCAATACGAATCTATGAATGAATCTATTTCAGAAGTGAATCTATAGTGAATCGCACGATTCACAATCGATTCACAATTCAATAAACTTTTTACAATTCATGCAATTCTTGAAACTACCGTGTCTGACATATTTTTGACTCTTTCTTTCTCTATCTTTTCTTGAGAATGACATAATACAACATCTAATAGTGTTTAGCACCAAAATAACCAATATATACATGATTTGTTGTTATTTTAGTGATCATAGAGTTTTCAATAGGATCTAATCAGATTCAGTCATACCTAACATGTTTTTAACCTTTCTTCCCATTTTTTTCCTTTAAAAAATCATAATATATCTTTTAAAGATATTTAAGATTAAAGTCACGTACACCATAAATTAACTATTGCTATTTTGTTGAATTAAAGCTGAATATTACATGAGTTAAATTAGTTATACATTTTAAAATATTTTAGAATTTCAAATAAAAGATCCTAAATAATGTTTTCTTATTATTTGGTCATTGTTACTTGGAAAAATACATATGCTTATTGTCCAACTATTAATATCGTTGTCAAATTATTATTAATTCGGAAATTGAGATTTTGTCTTTAGTTTATATTAAGAATGATTGATAAGAAATATCTAAAAATGGAAAAAGGTAAGATGGTGATCTTACATAGGAGCCATTGTTAACTTCTTACCTATTAAGTCTAAATATTTCGTATTCATAAGATATACTTAACATTCAAGTATGTAAATATATTTTTCTAAGAAATTTAGAAAAAGTGACCGAATCTTTACGATTCACGATTCAATTCAATTCGTGACTCGGTACAAGACCATTTTAATTTACGGTTCGACTCCCAATTTGACAACTATATAACCAATGTGATAAAGAATATGGATCGCTATTGTGCAGCAAAAAAGAAATGAAGCTATGTTTGGTATTTAGGAGGTGTTTGGCAATAGGCTTTTTGGGCTAAAATAACACTAAAAGACAAAATAGGCTAAAATAGTCAATAAGACAAAATGTCACACTAAACCCATAATCATTTCACTTTTTCTCCCACAAATATTACATCCAATTACAAAAAAATCCAACCCTTTTCCCAAACACAACTATTTTAGCCTACTAAAATAGCAAAAAACTAAAATAGCCTACTAAAATAGCCAACTTTCCAAACACCCCTTTATAACTAATTTGTACTTTGACATATATGCAGCAAAGAAGAGTTGAGTTTTTGGATTTTGAATGGGAAGGATTTGTGGTGTGGCAATGTTTTTGTCTATTTTTGTTTTGATGTTATCAATGTTATATGGAGAAATGGTGAGGTTTTTCTCCTTTTGCAAGCCCAGATGCACAAATGAGAAACCATTTACTTAAAAATTTGATCTTTTTATTTACTTTTAGATTATTGAAAGAGGGCTGTTTTTGGTGGCTGAGAAACTGAACAAAAAGGAAGAAGTCTAGATTTTGAACTTCACTTTTGACCCAAATTGATACTACTGACAGCTCAAACAAATTCACATACACATGTAACAAAATAATTCTCGTTACCATCCATTTGGTTTTTGAGAAAATATAGGCAAACCATTGAAATCAATAGCATTAAGGGTGTGAAAGAAATAAGAATGGTGACAGATAAACCAAAGGCTAAAGTAGAATTGCTTCAGCTTATACAATCTGAAATCACATGGCCTTGTCAGCCAACCAAGTGTGGAGATGGGACAAAAACAGCTTCTAAATAATTTACTATTCCTTTTAAGTTATTGTAAAGAAATCATGTTGCTGGAAGAGGACGTCTATGCGGGGCCTGTGTGCTGCCAGCAAACAAGCTTGGGAAAAAGGACAAGTTTCTCTCTTTCATTTTCCAAGTGATCGACAAATAAATGGGTCTCCAAAATAGTTTTTGAGTTATGGATCTTGTATTAAATTCTCATTCATAAAGTAAATATGGCCTAATTATACATTAAATTAGATCCAACGAACTTTATCACAAGTTAGGGTCTTAACACTCAAAACCAAAACAAAACCGAAATTGTAGAGCACAAAATTTTGCTATGGCAATCTACTAAACACCAATCAGTCGGGAATTTTCTAAAATTAAATACAAATTCTTTCACTCTGAAAATTTTATCCAATGTACTAGACTTATATGCGAACAACATATAAAAATTTAACAATCTTCTGAGAAAAGAAACCATTTTAAAATATACAAAATCGTAACATTTTCACACAGAAAATCTGCACAGCACCCAATCCAAATGCCAATCAGTCCAAGAATTTTATAGAATTCATCTGTAAGAGTTTTGATCTGAAATTTTTAATAAGTTTATTATACTCATTTATGAACCTTGTATAAAAACTTCATAAGCTTATGAATTGTGAGACCATTTTTAAAAATTCATAAAGGTAAGATCTCTAATTCAAGAGATACAAATTGAAATTTCAGACCATCATAAACTAAAAGTTTTGTTTCAATCGTCATAAACTATTCTACAAATGATCTATTAAAATTAAAACAATTACTAACCACATGGTCCATTAAACCATTCAATTAATTTGTGAAATGATTTAAAACTAAATTTCGGGTCATTACAATTTGATTCAATTGACATTGTACGTACAATGTGAATCTAAAAGAATAAAAAAGGTTGGGGGGAGAAGGGCTGCCCAACCAGAAACCAATAATGGAGTTATTCTGAAATATTATTTACATGTTTAACAAATCATAGCCTAGTCTAACCACATGATTAAGCTACAAATTCATTGCTCACAAAGTGATGATAGAATTAAACTGCATCAACTTTCATTAATGTAATATATTCACTAAGAGCAATATTAACTTCCCAAGACAAAATGTTGAAAAAATACTAGAAGGGATAGCTTTCCAAATTTTGTGGGATACTCTCAAAAAGGGCTAGCCCATTCCCATGCAGCACATTAATAACTATGTCCAAACAAATGTGTGAATACATGTCAATCACTGTCATGAAAATTTACTGAGGTCATAAGCTGGGAAAAACATGTGGTATGCAAGAAAAGCAACAGATTGAGAAAATCAAAAAGACATATCTCAATATTCAGGTTATTCAAAATGATGGAAAGCAGGAGATTAATGTGTTACTTTTATTCAGGTCAGTTTTTTATTTGTTTTCTATAATTTTTGAGCCAGGGTTATTTTCAATATTTATGGATTTTCTACACATGGGCTTTATTGATCACACATGGGTCATTCTTTGGATCAAGTCATGGTATTGGGTTTTAATATATGGTTTTTAACAGTAAAAATCTAAAGTTTCAAATTTTAAAATCAAAATCCTCTTCCAGCCACCAAAAACATGTCTTGTTACCTCAACTCCTCCAATATCATTACCATGCATACTTCCTGCCCACTAGGCACAAAAATGGGATTACAATAAGCCTCTAATAAGAGTATTCCTACTGCTTCCATATATCCATTTTGGCACCAAAACTCATAGAAGAGTGTTTCCTCACACTTGTTGACATCAACCTTCCTTTAACACCTTGGCATTCAAGTTTGTATCGAATGAAAAAAATAAGAACTAGAGACAATTACCAAAAAAATCCTAACATTTGACCCTTATAACAATAAACCCTGAATTTTTAATTTTGTCAATTTAAAGCCTAATTTTTTGATTTGTTTTCAATATAAACAATTTGCCTTTTTTTGTTAACTAAAATTGACCCAAAAAATAGTATTTTAATTATTAAACTCAATATAAGTATATATAAAATGTCTAAAATATCCATTTTCATTAAGTTTAATGACTAAAATACTCATTTTTCCATCAATTTTACTTAATAGAAAAATGGTTCAGTTTGAAAATAAATCAAAAGTTGAATGTTAAAATTGACAAAATTAAAAAGTCAGGGTTTATTTTGTTACAATGGTCAAACCTTGAAGTTTTTTTGTAATTTCCCCTAAAAACTAATATAGAAGAAGAAGAAGCAAAAATATAATATAGGATCTTACTTCTCAATCTCCTCAAATTTCAAGTAGTCCAAAGCCAATTGCAAGCGGCATATTCGAGAAATTTTCAAGTTCCACCCTGTCATGTGTACATTCAAAATGTGTATTATGAACTAAACATGCAAGTACTGAAAAGGAGAGGAGGGGAGGTGTTGGGGGTGAATAAAAATAAATAAGTATCAACAAAAAGCATATTTTAATTTTAGTTGTGTCTCTGACATGGACCTAGCCAAATAACTAATGCCCCTAAGAGCCCTATTATATAAAAAGGAAGGATATGTTTTTCCCAAAACTTCCAATCTCAGTAAATCTCTCAAACACCAAAGCTGATTAAACAACCATATCCAGCTTACCAGCAACCATCCAAGTACTCTTTACTCAAGCTCCAGAATGTAGAGCAGGATTTTATTGATATTGGAATTACAATTTTAACAAGTAAAAGAAATTTCTATTATTCAAGATTCTGACTTTAAACTCACAAAGTAACAGTGAGTATAGAAGTCTAATCACATCGAAACAGACAAAAAAATATCCTCAACAAGTAGTTCACCTTAAATTCCATGCTAATTATAAAAATAAAAATAAAAAGGAGCAATTACAAGTAGCCCAAAGTTGGAGATTACAATACCAGCAATTCAGAAAGCAATAATCAAACTTTTAACACAATGTTCTATGATTCTGAAACTAAGAATAATTAAACAATTGTAACATTGCCATTCACAATAACAAGGACAATTCGATTCATGAGCAAAATACGAAGAATTCTGAGT